ATGAAGGCTGGTCCAAACGTTCAAGAATCAAGAATTAAGAAGTTCCAAGAAGATTAATCAAAATGACATCCACTTACGGTGGGTGGCAGCTGGCTAGACTTCAGAAATCGGACATTCAATCCTTTTAAAGGTAGAGAACCTAGCAGTTAGGTGGCCAGGTCAGTTCCTGGACCACCTAACTGCTAGGTGGTCTCTTCTGGTGTTCCTCCACCGTACGATCACCGAGTGATCGTGCGGTGGGTGGCAGCTGCTAGACCACCTAAATCCTAGGTGGTCTACCTTTTAAAGGTAGACCACCTAGCAGGTAGGTGGTCTCTTCATCGCACAATCACTCGGTGATCGTGCGATGAAGGCTGGGGCCAAGAAATCACGTCTGGGCCCCAGTAGTGCCTATTTTCCCAATCGAATTCAAGCTCCTTATCGATATCCTTCCTGATCTTGATATTTAGAGAACCTATTTTTCCTTGCCTTTCATTCCTCCAAGTCTTCACTCACTCGCAATCAATTGAGCTTAAGGCAAATCCCAAATGCCACATTGATTGAATTTCCGATTTTTGAATTTAGGTTGGTTTTATATCAAAGTAAGTGGATTTCATTTTGATTATTCTTCTTGGAACTTCTTAATTCTTAATTCTTGAACGTTTGGACGATCAATTCTGAAGTAAGACTAAAGTAAAATGATATCTCTTTTCTTTTCTTTTAGTCATTGTTATCAAATAAAGTCTTACAACCTCAGAGTGGAAGTTACGAACCTGTGCGTTAGCAACATATTTTGATCTCATCCTTCACCCAAAAAATAATGAAGTGATGTTTTTGAAAAATACAATCGTAGACAAGGCTAGTAGTAGTCGATCAAAAATGTAAGTTTTATTTTCACCAAGCTTCATCCCTCAATATAATACCTCATTGAAAAACCAATTCCACATCTCATTGATTTTTGTTCGGTTTACTTTACAGTTGGAGATGATGCAGTTCTACAACTATGGAAACATGAAAATGGGTATATAATTAATAAAGCTACTAACCTTTGTTTAGATTATGAACATGGAAATTATAAACAATTAGGATATGTAATACCTTTTGTTTTTCCTTTTCAACTTTACTTCTTTTATAATCACTGATGAGTTTCTTATGATCATATTTTTGGGACGGTTCATGTTTTTAGTGCTATACATAGTAAGCCTTCCATCCCGTAAAATAAAAATATCATGTTCATTACGATCATTTATATTTTGCTTACCTTGGATTTGGTTACAATATTTGAACTTTAACTACATTATCATAGTCTGTCAATGGCATAGAAAAGTAGGAAAAGATGCACAATATCAAGTAAGCAATCAGAATTTCTAAACTGTTAACCAAGCTTTCCTACAAAACCTAAACAACTCGTCAATTTTTTCTTTACTTAGAAATGGCTTTATCGTACTCATAATTTAATTGCATGTGTAGACGACATCAACCGAGTCTTAGACATCAAAGTAAGTACAAAGAGAATCATGTATCGTCGATTTTTGTGTCAATCATCTTACTTAATCTTGTCGGCCGTTCTAGAGTCCATAAATGGTTTGACCAATCTCTAAAAACCCCAAAAAAGCCACAGCACATCAATGAAGACGGCTCTACCAAGTCCTGTGTGAAAGATCAAATATCAATTCAAACAGTTGAAATCTTGTCATCAATTTTTCAAATGTCAGAGAATACATGAAAACTCATGTTCACAATAATAAGTTTGAAGGATGTTTAAAACTTGTTTCGCTTGACCTAGTGTAGTAGCTATGATTTCAAAGAGATGAGAGTCAGTGGATTAGAAATAAAGTCACATAAGAATAAAAATACTAACATTGACCAGATGCATTAGGGACTTTAGATGAACCAAAGTCAATGAGTAAAGTAAGTGCCTCTACACCAGGTGGCATCAAATCAATAGTCCTTTCAAGACACCAGACAACAAATTTAATTTGTTTGAAGGCAAATCAAGAGTCTCAATCATCAAATTGTCAAGGAATTCTGGACACACTCAGAAAGCTACTAAGATATTTTATGCTGAGGCGGACAAAAGCAAGCCACCTACAAGATTTACCTCCTATATACCATGAGACCATTTTATTGGATATACATCCCCAATTCAAACAAGTATATCAGCAACATTACCAAAGATTTATTCAGGAATTCGGTAGGGACTCTCAAATCCAACATAAATGATTTGATGAGGATTGCAGAAGATTGAGGACAGTCAAAGAAGATTAAGGGCGGTGGACAAAGAATACAAACAAAGAAGAAGATTGAGGATGGTTGACAACAAAACTAGAAGATCAAGGATGGTTGACAAAGAAAGAAGAAGATTGAGGATGGATGACAAAGATTGAAGAAGATCAAGGATGGTTGACAAAGATTGAGGAAGATCGAGGACGGTTGACAAAGATTGAGGAAGATCAAAGACAATCAAAGAGGATTGATGATGATGAAAGAGGTTTTGGAGGAGAGCGAAACAGGAAGCAGGTACTTTGAAGCTCTTGAGACAGATGGTAGAATGTCTCTGGTTGGAGCTGTTGATACCTGTGAGACCGAGCTTGTAGCTAGTTGGCCAAAATGTGGTTTTTGGCTGCAGTAGAATCTAACATTGGTGTTTGAATTGTACAGTTTGAGAAATGTATTTTTTGGTTTTTTGATTTTTTGGTTTTTGGTGTTGCTGGTACTTTTTGTCGAAAGGTGACAATGCAATGAAAATGGTGTTGACTACTGGAAATTTGGGCAAAAAGGGGTTTCTGCCATGACTTTTACCCCAGTACAGGGGTTTTATCCCTGTATTTGAGTATTTTCTGTAGTTTTGTCTTTGATTTTTGAATTTTGCACCCGGGAATTGTGATTTTTGATTTTTGAAATTTCGCATTGTCACTTTGGAACATCTCGCATTCCGTAGGTGAGTGTGTTGGTGGACGATAATTCTTGAGCAGTGGCGGTTTGTTTTTTGTTCTTTCGTGATGACTGTATAGCAGGTGCCTTTCGTGGAGGGGGGACAAACTCTGAGGGGGGGATTTTTTCAACCTTGAAAAATCCATCCTTGATGTCTGCAAGCCATCTTTTCTTTTGTGAGTCGTCACAAAGCCGAAAGCCCATAAGAAGCTCTTCTGGTAGAAGGGAACTTTGTGGCATCTGTACAAGTCGCACTGGCCAGCCTCGGCCAAAGATGATTGCAGCAGGATCGTCCTTTTTTGGGAACGTTTTCTTCCCAGGCAACTGTTCGCCTGAGATCATTCAAAAGGGAAGATAATTAAGGAAAGAGAAGGTGTGAGTCTCTCTTCCTAACAAACACAATTCATCAACACTCACTGAGAAGTCTGTTGAGCTCTCTGGTAAGTTCACCTCGGCGAGCGTCAACTGGTGCACGTGGTTTCGTCTCAATCTCCTGGGCTACCACCTTCCCATGGACATAATACTTGAATTTTGTGGTGAGTTTCAAGTTTTCTTCAGCCCATTCCGAAAAAGTCGCATTTGTCGAATATGTTTGCAACCACCCGTCTTCAACATCACAGCTGAGTGCAACTAAATGGTAATGTATGTGAAAGCGCTGGCACGTTGTAGCAAACTGACAATTGGTGTTAGTCAGATCACGGTGTGTACAGCAAAGATAGAATGATAGACTCACATCATGATGAGCTGACCGGAAACCTGCTAATGACTTGAGCTGAAGCTTTGCAACAGACTCGGTCTTTTCTGGCTTGCCGTGATTTTGATGAACCTTCTCAATGTCCACCAATTGATCGAAGATAGGTCGATAGATGGCCTTTTCGTCGTCGGTGAGCTTATGTACGGCTGGGGCCAAAACCTCGGCAGCTAAGTCTTCATCTTCATCTTCTAAGCCATCGTCATTCAGACTGGCATCGGGTTGTTTTGAGAGGTCGGGAAGCTCGGCCAATGCGAAGAAATACGGGTCGCGGAAGACAGCTTTCTCTTCTTTGCTTTTAGTTGACCAAATATCACTCAGCTTCTTGTTACGCACTGCCCAACCGTCTTCGTCGTTTTGATGTGGCACTGGGAGTGGAAAGACAGAACGGTGAAGATACGAAATAGTGTTGGTCAAAATTCAGGACTTGAAAAAATACACAAATTACATAGGCAGAGTTGATCAAAAGGAAAGTGAGTCACTTACGATTTAATGCAAGAGCCTCTTTCCCAAAGGCCATGAACCTTGTCCAGCATGTTTTCTTTCCCTTCTTTCGACCAGAATGCCTGTAAGTGTTAGGTTGGAAGTGAGAAATAGATACAAAATCACAGTTGTGAAAGCATGCAAAGAGTATTAAACGTACACAAGTGACCAAATCATGGTCTCACTAACCCCACCCATAAGCGCAGCCATCAACATGCGCTTCTCATACCCCATCCGGATGATCTCAACAAGGGTCTTGATCTCGGTAGGAACTTGAGTCTTGTGCTTGTTACGTTTTTTCTTCTGATTGTTCAGCTCTTTCCTGAGGTCGGCAAGGGTCCAATCTTTAAGCTTATCCTCATAGTTTTGAAGAGTCAAGGGCGGAAACCTAGAGGTGAATTCTTTTGAGTCTTGGTGATTCTTTGATGGTGGTTGAGGACCTTCATCTTGTGCTTGAAGTGAAGGACCAGTGGGAGTTTTGTCATCTTCATCGACTTCATGTGAGTTTTGAAGGTCCAATTCCTTCTGATTTCGGAGATTAGCTCTTTTTTTAGCTGGCGCCTTGCGTTTCTTGGAGCTTTTTGGAGGTGGAGGTGGAGTTGTTACTCGTTTACCATTACGCAGAGCCATTGAAGTTTTATACAATGATGGAGTGGTTGTGATTGATTGGATTGAGACAATGGTTTGAGGTTTGATATAGTTTTCAAACGTAAAAAGGACTATGTACGAAAGCTTACCAGCATTGGTCTGTATGTGAAAGGCGGAATAATCCTTTGTTCCGTGTGTGAAAGGCAGAAAAACCTTTGTGAAAAGTGACATGTGGAAACTTGGTCATGTCATGGCCCCGAGTCATATTTCCTGAGACCACGTACTGAGGTATGACAAAAGTTGAATATCTCTTTCAATGTGTCCAATCTTGAAAGAGAACTATTTGGAATTTAATGACAATATGAGCTTATTGTTAATGTGTTCAAAGTTTATTGGTTTGGGCCATTTGAGTAACCAATTTAGACCAATAGTAGCATACATTAGTGCTTATCAAACTTTGTCAGTTTTGAGGATATATTATAGTGGAGGTGGAACTTTTGTTACATTTTTTTGAAAAAGTGTTGAAAATGATTCAACAATTTTTGGTTGCTTTATGGCCCTGAGATATATTTTGGGGACATTCAAATGGCCAAAGAGACCAAGAGTATGGCTTGGGGGAATTGTACAGAGTTTATAAAACTTTGTCAGTTTTGGGGATATAGTGGAAGTGGAACTTTTGTTGCATTTTTGTAACATATACTTAAAAAGTATTCAACAATTTTTGGTTGCTTTATGGCCCTGAGATATATTTTGGGGACATTCAACTGGCCAAAGAGACCAATAATATGGCTTGGGGGAATTATACGGAGTCCTTATAAAACTTTGTCAGTTTTGGGGATATAGTGGAAGTGGAACTTTGGTTACATTTTTGTAACATATATTTAAAAAGTATTCAACAATTTTTGATTACTTTATGTCTCTGAGATATGTTTTTGGCACATTCAAGTGGCCAAAGAGACCAATAGTACAATTTGTTTAATTTGGCTTACACTTTTGTGATACATATCTGAAAATTATTCAACAGTTTTTAGTACTTTTATATCTTTGAGATATAAATTGTGGGGCCTTATGAGGGATCAATAGCACAACATTGGTCAGATGGAGGTCCAATCAAACTTTATCAATCTTTGAGATAATCCAAAATGTGAACTTGTATTATGATGTGATAGAATGGTACTAAAGGCTGATGAGGTTTTTCATTTTTTTTTCCAACAGTATGATTTTATAGTGCAGGTGAAACTGTTAACCTGTTATATGCTTGGTAATGCCAATACTACAAAAGTATGAACTTGATAAATTTGAATGTGCTCAAACTTGGTTTTGGCCATATAACACCCTTGACACAATAGAATCTTTAGTGTATTCTTTGTCTACTCACAATAACAACCTAACTGCAATGATTGAATGAATCTTTCACTATGAGACAATGAAGCTCAAGTTTGACACATATGCTTGAGAATGCTTATTTGGGGGTATTAATATTCTCAATTCCTTTCAAGCTTAATAAAATACCTTCCTTCAGTGATTTAGATACCATTCAAAGATGTGATGAAGACAGGATCAAGTTTTCAAAGTAAGGGATATATACATTTGAATACAAATGAAAGTGCATATCAATCACCAAGTATGTGTGCTCTAACATTATTGGGATGTCTTGTACTATGTTATCTCAACTGATATAGCTACACTCACAATATCATTGATTTTATCCTTCTGGCGTGGTTGGTCAACTTTACAATGTTTTTGCTAAGTCAATAGCACCACATATCATATTTGTAGCCACAATGTTTTGGATTTTATTATAACATATATATGATAATTACATTGACACCAAAATCTCTTCATGTTTGATCATGATCAAAGATTTCTCAATTTTCTAGACTTCATAACGGAAGATAAGATAAGAGAAATGAAGTCTAGGTTATGAGGGTATACACAACTTGCTTTGGACTGCTTTAAAGTATAAAGCAAATCAGCCTGATAGTTCAACATGATTGAAGGCATGTCATTATGTAAGCACCTCATTTCAAATTATCATTGGTTTAGCGTAAGCAAGTGCACAGATTGAACCACAGACAAGAGGGGTCCTGAGTTATAAACCAGACTAAGCTAAAATGGGAAATCTCCCTTCAGTAGCAGATATAAGAAATTTTTGGGAAGTCATTTTCTATTGCATACCATATTAGACCCATTTTCCATACTTACAAAACTATCATTTTTCATATCTTCAAACTATCGATCTCATCATGGTCCTACCAGGACGTCGTATCCGTTCACCTAAACGCAAGAAAGGAAGCAAAAAACAAACTCGGTTGGGTAAGGAGTTACAAGCACTTAAGGACAGAGAGTCAAAAGCATCATCATCTTTTGTCAATAATACATCCAATCAGCACAACCTCGATAATCCAATGATTGATTTTGATGGTCCCTATCAGCACGGTGAAGCAGCAGGATGGTCTGATGAAGAGGACGAACAGGATAAGGAACCTCACTATGTCTCATTCCAGGAGAGAACTCAGCGTGAACAAGCACATTGGAAAACTGCCCTGCCATTAATGTTTCCTGTATTCATGAAGAATTCAAAGAACACCTCCCAATGGGGCGACGAAAAGCTTTGGGCCAACGATTGGAAGAAGCCTTGTAATTGCTCTAAGCGGGAGAGATTGGTAGATGTTGTAGATATTCTGAGTCAGATACAACACCGCACTTCCATATTTGATTAGAATTGACGCTGACCAAATACAATTCACATTATCAACTAGGTTGAAAGAAATTGAACATCGAATTCTGTGATTGTCAGCCTGACTCAGTCCGGTTGGTGCAGATTGGCCTGATAGGGGGGACAGCCAAGAATCCTGTCACTGCCTATTCGATCCGACTTCTACGATTATTTCATGTCTTGTGGAAACTGTGTCGTGTCCGATTAACACCTTTCTGCTTGGCTATAGACGAATTCCTTGATGCTAGTAACACCATCATACTTTCAGCCTCCGGCAACCGAGTCAGTCAATCTCTTCAAACATGATTCTTCAGTCTAGCTAATGGTCTTTTTATTATGTATGTATTAGTCTCGGGAGTGGCGAAAAACTTTTTCACCCGCAGTAGATGCTTATAGAGAAATGATACGTCTGGAGGGAGAACTAAGAGATAAAGCACTCAAGCTTTCATCAATTCAAAAGCTGGCGTTGAATTGCCCTCGATGCTTCGTTCCCGAAGTCAAAGGAAAACGAGAGGCCGAGCCTGACTTCATCATTTGTCTGGATGGTAACTTTCAGCACCGGCGCCATCTATTGGCTAGTGCTGATTGGCGCGACCCTCCTAAACTACCTTCCTTATTTTTACCTCAAGATATTATTGACCACTGGGAAGCAAAGATGAATATTCACAACTCAAACCTACAAAAATCTGATGATAAAGTGATAGTAAGCAGATTTTGCACTCTCAGAAGTTCTCATGATTGCAACTTGTGCTATTTTTACATATAGGACCCATGTACTACGAGTCACACAGCAGCCGACGATGCAAGAGGTCACCAAACCTGGAGTGGGTGTGATGAGACTGGCTTATTTGGTATGGCGTGTAGACACGACCATGTATTGAAATTTCACAACATTGTTCAGAGCGGAGAAAGGTGAGCAGCTCTGTTGGGGAGTCAAAGTTAATTCGATTTAATGTTTGTTTTATTTGATCAGAGGCCACTTCCCGCTTGCTATGATGGAATGGTTGATGAGAGAGGTGCGTCAAGTTTCGGAGTCGGAAGAAGAAGCAAAATGGAAGTTTGGAATCATATACGATATCGGGTGCAATTTAGAAAAGAGTATTAATAAGGTGAGTGTCCTAATATTCGCTGATACCATCTCTGCTCTAACAAATCATGTAATCAACATCCTTAGCGAAACTTTTTTGAGGAGGAACGAAAAGAAGCACGTCTAAAGTTTGGAACGGGGGCTTGGCACTCTTATGCTCACATAAGATCATGTCAAATCCAATATAATCCACGCTTAAATCAAGACTGGGGAATGTCCGATGGCGAGGGAATAGAGCGAATCTGGGCAGCTTTAGCTGATTTGATTGCACCTCTGCGTTATTCTACAAAGGAACATCGGCTCTGGGCCTTACACCTTCAAGCTATGTTTCACAACGAGTCGGCGAGAGCAGCCAGTGGTTAGTAGGGTATCTACATATACTGTATCACATTCTGTTTACTATTAGCTGACAGATACTTGCTGTATAGTTGAATCGATGATTAGGCGCATGAAAGAAATGAAGAAACTCTTTCTGGATAGTCAAACCAGGCTTAATGAACTGTGCATGGATCCTACATACACTATAGATTACTTCAAGGCCCAATGGGACCGTCAACGCGAATGCCAGCTTCAGGTGATTGACAACAAAAGTATTCAAGCTTTGACCGAGAGATTGGCTCATTTGGTGGAGCTAGAAGAGCAACTGAAAGAATCCCAGTACGTTGCTTAACGAGTTGAGTTATAATCTGATTAACTAACTAATATCTTATATAACCTACATCAATAGCCTTGAATTGAAGACACTGCGACGCAAGCGCCATCGTCAAACTCAAGCAGAACGGCACAGCGTGACGACTCTTCCGGAGACAATGGTTGTCCTGGAGGAAGAGATTGACTCGGTAATCGAAGAGCTTGGGGGAGACAAATTCCGCAATATTCCCGGAGCAACCAGTGAGTAGTAGAACTAATTAACCAGCTATCAACTTAAATGGCTCCTAATTTGTGTTTCACTTTTCAGGTCGAGTGGGCAATCATCTAATTCGTGTGCGAGTGGCTAAATCCAAATTGTACGAAGCAAAGGTGGGGGTTTTAGAGGAGATAAAACAATCAAACCAACGTGCTGGTAAGTTTTTCTTGCTACATTTGACTTTGAACTACTGTACTAAACTTCCTTTGATCTGAACCCAGGTACCCGTCATCTGCAGAGACATAAACGTCTCCTGAAAGCGAAGGAGGCCGAACTTAGGAAGAAGTATACAACGTTTCATCGCCAGATTTTGAATTTGGAAGCAAATTGTCCAAGGAAACATTGGTTGCAATGTCCTAGTTTTGATGAGGTGAAGAGTATGCCTATAGATGATTCCTTCTGGGACTTCGGACACCTTACCCATCCCAATGAACCTTGGGCAATGGATCCAAAAGTTTACAACGGGATAAAAGCGTACCTCGATCTCACTCATTCAGAAGACGAACTGCGTAGGATTGGGCGTGAGTGTCGTCAGCTAATCAACTGGGCAAACGAGATCAACATTAAGACCTCCTGTCTCAGGGACATTGTACACAGTAAAGGTAAGTGAACCGAATACTTTTCTTACTATCCACTGCATGTTATTGAGGATCTTCATTTGATGGATTTGTAGACCACGCACTTGACCGAGATGTAAATCGGTGGATGATGGATTTGGTTTTGAGTATTACGAGTGCTCGTCGGGAGGATCATTTGGTTGAGAGCAGGCAAGTTTTGGAAGCACTGCTTTGTAATCTCAGTCGGAGTCACTGTCATTTGTGGATGTCATGGAATCAAGGTTTGTTGAATGTACTTTCAGGGACATCAGAATATACAAATTTACCAATTGAAGAGGAAACTGGGTTCAGAGAAAAGTGGAATACAATTATTGAAAACAGCAAAGACATATGGGCAAGGATTACAAAGGAGCCCGTGATGAGAGCAGAAGGAAATGATCTCCTGGGAGACGGGGAAGATGATGATATTGACAATCAGCTGGATGATATGTATAATGATGCTTTTCAAGTTGACAACATGTTTGGGAATTGAGTTTTTAAAGTGAAAACGATGCTGAAATGAAAACATGTCCTCCTTTTAACACTGATTTGAAACCTGAGACTTGTAACCATTGTCTAGCCGTCTAGCTTCCGTGTCTTGTTTAGTTTTGTTGTTTGTGTAATTTGATTATGAGTTTTTATCGTCAATTGAAGATTCAGAACCTTGAAGGTTTGGATGAGATTGGAGGAAATGGATGGTTGAACTCGAAGGGAACGTGGTTGATTAATCTGATTTCAATATCAATTTGATTTCATTTATGTCAAAAGCTTGAACTGAATTTGGTGAAGTTGGTTGGTGAATTCGATGATGTTTCTTTGTGATGTTGTTGGAATTCGTTGGAATTGGTGTTGATGGGGTGTTGAGCTGTGTTTGGGTCATTGGAGCTGTTGAGAGTCGTTCGACATGAAGGCTTGATTGATCACCGAGCTTGATTCGGGTGTACTCATACCGGTCTGAGGGCACTTAGTTTGATCCAAGTATGCTCAGCTCAGATTGATCTGAGAGGACTGAGTTTGATCTGAGAGGACTCAGATTGATCTGAGAGGACTCAGATTGATCTGAGAGGTCTCAGATTGATCTCGAATGTGACTCAGATTGATCTGTGCATATCTCAGATCAATCTAAGTGATCTGGGGACTTTGGTCCTGAAGATGATGACCTAATGTACAATCTAAAGAGCTTTAATGAACATATACACCATCAACATCATGATGGATATTTTTTTGACTGGGATGAGGACTTGGAGAGCTCTTGAAAGTCAATTGAAAAATGATCTAGATGATCTATATTGATCTAGTGCAACGGGTCGGTAACTGTACCGCCGGGAAAGTGCTTCCTGTCGTTGGTTGTACTGCCGGAAGTTTAGTGCGCCAGAGGTGGACAACTCTACGTTGTCAGGGACCTCAAAGGGCTAAGTAAAGAAATTGGAATCAATAAACAAAAGCTTTAAATAAACAAACAAGAAATTGAATAGATAAAACAAGTGAAATCAAGGTGAGCTTACATTATCTTTGGGTTTCTTGGATCATCGAGGCGACTGATGGCTAGAGGAGGTCGGTGATGCAGACCTGGCTTGCTTGCTTGCAGACGAAAGAGTCTGGCAATTGAAGAATATAAAAAAAATTGGTTACATCAACCAACAATATCACATGGTAAAATATGAACATGAAGCTTACCTTTCCCTTTTGAATTGGTTTTGGCTTGCTTTGAGCCGTCAAACCTTTCTTACGCTTTTCATTAGTCAAAGTCGTCTTGGTTTTGTTCTTGGTAGAAGTTGGGGGTCAAGGTGAGGCAGTCCGATTAGAAAGGGGTCCGGGTGTTGTTTCTTCAGTTTCTTCAGTGTCACTGGTGGCCAAGGAGACTGTAAGAGCCAAACGGGAGTCTTTTGGAGGAACAATAAAGCCTCGTGGAGTGCGAGATGGACTTGGTGGTCAAAGGCTTTTCCTAGTGGGTGCATTGGTGGGAACCTGAAGTGTGCTACTTTGAGATGAGTTTTTTGATGAAACCATGATAGAGATAATGATATAGGTCAGTCTTTATTATACCAAGTTGATTATAATCTTGATAGATTTGAACTTGTGGAATAGAAGAAAGATTGGAAAGTAACGCACCTTATAAGAACTTGAGCTAGGATGAACCACAGGCTGGCCATTGTCAAATTTGAAAGGAAGTACGTTGAGGTCCAGGTTTCCATCAGCTGAACAGGCCTAATACTGAGGTCGTCCATGTTTGATCCTCTGTAGTGTGGCGCAGAGGCCTGAGATCAGTGGTTGAAGTGGAGGGAATTGAATCAATACCCTCCACCCACTGGAAAGCCTTGGGAAACCCTGTACCCGGCCAAAAAGCTCCGCTATATAGCGGATCCAGACCCCCAGGGCCGGGGTGCGCAGTGATTGCTCCGCTATGAAAAACCCCAGCCCTGGAGTGCGGTGCGCTGGCTCCGCTATGAAAGGCGGAGTGCGTGGCGCACCCAAAAATCACCACAAAACCGCTCCACATGTGCTAGTTAATGCGGAGCGGTTCCGGTATTGCTATTGGGACTTCTTTGTTAGGTGGTGTTCAATAAGGGAAGAATGTATAACAATTTCTCCTTTTAGGATTGAAAAGAAGAAAGGGGCGGTTGAATGTGCTTGCTATCACAAAGCCCAATGAGGGCAAACTCAACCAGTACTCTTGAGTGCAAGATGTACCCTCGTGGTGAAGCTGACCCATAAGCTCTTGTACCAACTCCTCCGCGTCAGATTGCTGTTTTCTCGTCTTCGTTTGGGGGCGCTGAGAAGGCGTGAATATCAATTTTGTGTGATCCTGCGGATGGTAAGAGAGCTTGGTCATCATGGCTCGGCGAATGACAAGGTAAGCGTCTGTGGTGTACATGTTCATCGAAGCCGCTATGGCGTAAACCCCACAATTTCCAAAAGCAGGAGGGTGGTGGATTGACTTGATGTATGGGACCAAGGTCAAAATCACTTCACTATGCACAGACTATGGCAACTGGGAGTTGTTTCAAAATCAACTGGTCTTCTGGGTTTACCAGGCCGCTTTTGCTGACAGTATTTGGTTGAAGAGTGTCTGAGTTCTCAATTTCTTTGGGTATCAATGTGTTCTTGTCCTTGTACTCGAGTGGGAACACTGCAGCACCAAATTGTTGACTTGCTTCAAGAGTGGCTTTGATTTTACGATTGGTTCAAGGGATTCCAAGATCTTCAGCTGTAAAAGACAGGCTGATCTCAGGCAGCAGAACACTTCGAATGATCAAGTCGGGGCCAAGTGGTGCTGAGTTTTTTGCATTGAGTTTGATATTCTTATCTGATCCATCAGATAAGAATAAGAACATGAGCTCCAGTTTTGTTATGATTATTTGCAAGACGTGGTATCCATAACTGAAGTCAGCCAAACATTAGTGTCCATGTAGATTGGTCGGAACATAGAAGGTTTCATATAGGCTCACCATCCTGGCATTTTGATTTAAAAACCTTCAATTTGTAGACCTGTATCACGGTTGTTCCATTTTTGTTCAGCTAGGTCCAAATAAGGAGACTTTGCTTCACGTTTGATGTTCTTTGAAAGATATGTGACATGTGAGTCTATGCAGCTGTGGTACAACACAATTAAAGAAGGTCAGCAAGTGGCGTTAGAGACTAGACAAGTTCCAATTTGGGTCTAACCTTGCAAGACCTTGGAAGTTGATGGTGGTTGGCCACCCTTTGCTGATCCCGTGAGGAATTACCTGGCGCTCTGCCTCATGAAGTCCGCAAAATGCTGCCGTTTGAGGGAACTAATCAAACACAAACCAAAGAGGATGTCAAGACATGTGTAATAATGTTACAGAGGGTTTTCACTTACCAGACGGGACCTTGATCTGGGACTGCTCATCCCCTTCTTCATGTTGGGTATAGCAAGCAGTTTGCCCTTCAAAGCAAGAATTTTATTCAAGGGATGAAACCCCTTATGTGTTTTGAGACAAAATCTCTATCTCTCATTTTCACAATACAAACATGTGAAGGTCCCCCTTGATGAAAGCTCATATCAAGCTTTGAGTTAAACTTCTCTAATTAACTTCATTTACTTACTTTCAGCTTAGGTTTGAGCCTGCTTGAGCATTTCAAATTGTTAAATTGGATGCTGACTAACCTCTGATATCACCAAAAACGACTCATTGAAAGATCAATCAAATTGAATTTACAGAATAATGATATCAACAATGGATATGATTTCAGCAATATGATTCAACTTACCTCTTTACTTTGTCAACCTCAATTCAAATCATCAAAAGATTCATCAAGGCCTAAGGAATTGTCCAATTTAAGCAGTTTTTTTTAAAACCTCTCTCATTATATTGTCACAAGAAAGGATTAATTGATTGAAGAACTTTTATATCAAATATTGTTATCTTTTTTGCAAAATCCACAATGCTTGCATCCCGGTCAAGATACATTTATGAAAACCCTTGAACGGATGTCTTGATCAACTTATTGGTTCAATATTTTTCAAAAACACCATCTTGGACTTGGATTGAGCCTGATTGATCACCTTGAAACACAGTCAAGTATTAAAACCAAACTTCATCAATTGAAAAACTTCATCAAATGGGGTCTTTTTGAACCCGCTTCTCTTTCCTTCTCAAATCAATACTGATTCATAATTCAACAGGACAATTTAGAAAATGAAACTGTCAGAAAAGCAACACGATTACGTAAACAAACCAGTATGAGCTCTACATAGGCACAACAACTAAAAGAGCAGAGAGTGGTCAGCAGCCAGACATAAAGCCTTTGGCCAACCTTATCTACCAATCACTATAAGTCCAGATATACATGAAGCTAAGAAGGATAGGTATGAACCTGCTCCTTGACAAAGCAAAACACCTGTCTTGGTTGATAAAGAGCTGTTTGAATGACCAGTGGTATTGCATTAACCTATAAAGTTGTCTGTAGAATTGGCCAATACTAGAAAAGGGTACTGATCTATATGAATCACAAATCCAGAAGCCAAGTATATGTATGTACTTACACTTGCCAAATCCCATTGTGGGGTATGCCCCAAGTGAAAGTGAAGAAGGTGTGGGAAAATTCTTGAACTTTTACTGCCTCAGCCTTGACAATTTTCTTGAAGTTAGGCAACATATCAGCAAGATGCATGTTGCAACAAACCTCTTTGATTGGGTTCCAATTGATTTCCCCTTATGATTTATCGGGGGTTGAAGTCAAATTTTAGGCATGGGTTTGACCTTGAACATCTGTGACTTTGTGTCAGCGGGCGGGCACACCTATCCACTAGTTGATTGAATATCCCCTGGACCAGCCATTTTTACATTATGAAGCATGATTTTCACAAACAATCTATCTTCTGCCCAGGTCAAGCCGTCCTGTCAGCCCTGAGTACTAAACCAGTGTACCAATGGGCGACAAATATATTAAAAACCTTAAAAACAGCAATTACAACTCAAGGCTCAGTTTCAAGAGTCAAGTTACATATGATTTGGCATATGTAACATGTGCAAAACTCACATCAAAGAGTGTGTACGTACACAACTTTGATGTGAACCAAAACTACATATATTTCACAGACGTAACACATATGTAACAAGTGAAATATACTTATAACCCAATAGTAACCGTGTTACTTTAATTAACCTAACCTTAGAACCACAATTTGTGCGCACTTGTAGTCCAAAGATTCTCAAGGTTCAGACTATATAAACCCTGAAGATCACACCAGCTTTTGAATCATCACATTAACATTCAACAACTTTACAAATTGCTCATTTCATCTTCATAGAACTTTTAAACTTTGTCTAACATCTACAAACTTTAAAAGCCTGATTCTACGAACTTTGAATCTTCAACCTTGTGTCTTGTTGACTTTATTGTGTGCGCATCAAAACTTCGTTTCTATCTGATTAGACTCTACAATCAGTTAGTTTTGTAATATCCATTTGGTGGAATTACGTATAAGGAAGTAGTCCTTGAGTAAGGCTTATATCAGATCAGGGATTTATCTGATATAAGAAACTCTAAATCTACGGGGAACCTCTATTAGTCAGAGTTTAAAGTTCCTGGTGTTAAGATAGACTTTAACACCTCCTTTATTGATCATTCTTTGTACAAGAAGTGACTCAATTTAGGCTTGAGAACTGCGCGTCAGTGGCTCTATTTTAATTGTTGCAAATAAGAACAATTACCCAAAATCCCTGGGCGTGAAATCCTTTGTTAAAAGGTCATTTAACTGGAGTCTTTACTTGTTTATTACAAGTAAAGCTTCTACGCCCGCGTCTTCACATACTCCAACTCGTGGATTGTAATCCCCACGAGTCTAGTAGAAGTTTGTTTAAACTTCTATCTCCTTTTTATTGACTCTACTAGCCCAACAGACGCTAGTAGGCTCACATTTGGGGGCCTCATCCGGGTTTTCAGAACCTTTTTCTTTTTTTTTGAGCTTGTTATAGCTCAGTCTCATTTAGAAAAGTAAAAAATAACAAAAACATATATTTCATTTCATTATTTGATTTTATTTATCCACCTTTAAATTCAAAAACTGAGCAAAGCTCAGCATTTTTTGAATTTAGGATAATAGCTTGGAGGAAAGAAAGAAATTCTTTTCCCCCCCCAAATTTCGCATTTTTTTAATTTTTTTAATATTTTGAGAAATAGGATCAATAGTTGATCCATCTACAAGTTAATTACATATAATTCATTGTTGACTTATATCTGTAATTCATTGATTTGTATTGTGTAATTAGCCAAACACGTGGCTCACATAAATTACATACACATATCATCAGGTGACTCGTGTACAATTACCACAAGTAGTAATTGTACAGAAGCCCCGCGCGTGGTCCGAAAGCCACCACCGTCACGTTGCTGAATTTCGCAATCAGCTCAGCATTTCGAATCCAACCACCCCCAGTGATCGTTCGATTAAGCCACCGGAACAGCAACCGAAGCGAAGTAACCTGCAAAGAAGAAACAAGAACAACCAGTACAAACATACTTAGATTGAAATAATCAAAATACTCACATATTCAATCGATAAAGTCAATCAAAACCGATTAGATTATCATTCCTTAATCTTTTCATTTTACTTGTGATTGGATCGAAGATTGTTTGAATTCGAGAAAGATATAAAAGAAAACACTATCGAGTTAGTTGTTTTTTTCTTTTTCTTTGTTGTCATAAATAAAACGATAACTGATCGTTACTATTACATCCTTATCTTGTTTTCCGTGCAACTATCTGCACCCGTAATCGATCATTGTCATTGATCTAATTTGAAGAGTTCAAAAACTGCTCAATAATTGATCTTCGCCTTTTAAAAACGATTCATTCATTCATCCGGGTACTCAGCATAAACATAAGATATTGAAAGATTTCTATCTAGTGAGTCATCACTTTTTTTTGTTTCCAAGTTGAGATAATAAAATTCAGAAAGATAACTGATAGTTGTTATCTTTTAATATTATTGCTTTTTTGTTTATTTGTTTCAATTGAATCATACGAGTAGGATTCATCAGTCGAACCTCGGTTCCGAAACCTTATCATCCATTTAAAATCGAATAGGAACTATTACCTTTACCATCGATTGGAACATCGCTTTAACGGTTCTTTTACTATAGATCGTCCCAGTTAGCGGTTCTTTTTTCATCTAATTTTTGAATCATAGAGTTATAGATAATAAAATTGACAGCAATTTTGTTTTGGTCTTTTCTCATTATCTTCATTGGTCATTCTTCACATTCAAAATAGATTTTGATAACCCCACTTTCAATTGGATAGAGATTGGACCAAAATTAAAATACGATACATCGAGTAAGTAAGATTGTAAATCTTCTTTATCAATCAATTCAGAGTTACATATCAAAGATCAAGCAATCGAGTTGATTTCTTTTTCATTTCTCTCTAATTTTGATTTTTTTATATCGATCTTCGTTTGCTAGTAGTGAATTTAGCCGACCTAAATCATGAACTACCTCAGCTAACTCAAGCTCATCTGGAAGACGATTTGAACCGAGGTCAACGGGAGCTTTCATTCGCTACCGACTTCAATTTCACTAGTAGCTCGGTTGCTACAACCCCGTCTCACCAAACCGAGTCATCAGCTGCGACTCCTCAGCCTCAACGGTTCCAAACAGCGGACCCTTGGGACTTTGAACGACCTCGCAGCCCTACCGAAAGCGTCTTGGACTTTATTTTAGAAAGAAGTCCGATCAAGAAGATACCTCCAACTGAATTTCGATTCACTACTCAAAGATTCGAAAGTAAGTCAACACGTTGTGTTCTCTATCATTTTCATTAAGAAGAGTAAGAATCTAACAGAGTTGTACTGTTACTCTCTTTTTCTCCTTAGCATCGACTACAAACGAAACTCAAAGTAAGCAATAGACTCATTTGCTTTTCTACTTTACTTGTTATAAACTGAGAAGTTTATTCTTTTTTGCTGTTATCGTAATTTCTTTCTGATGGCTGATTGGAATCCACCACCGCATCCTCGCAGTCGAAAGGAACCAGAGCGATATGGCAACCTCCAACCCACCAGCAGCAGCCGGCCCGGGACCGATGGAGCAAGATTGAGAGTTGGGTCCAGGACCGGATCAACAGCCAGCGGTAAGCAAAGGTCAAACGAAAGCAGAGGTAAGCTTCCAGTTACCAACCAACCTTTGACAAAAGACCTAGCTGACACAACTTCAACTACAGGAGTTGGCCGAGTACAACTACCTGTGGCAGGATCTTCGAGCCCAGTACTTGAAATGGGAACGAGGCCGAACAATCCTCAGCGACGTGAGCAAGCGCAAGATGCTTCTGAAGCAATCGGTCCTCGAGGGCAGGAAAGCCAGGAAAGCCTTGGAGAAGGATCACGAGGTGAGCGAGGAGGATTTCAAGGAGCAGATGAGAGGCTGGTTCATCAACGGGACCACAAGATGGAATCCCTGCGAACAGTCGATCAAAATCTTCGGTCTGAGAGCAGACGAACCGGAAGCTCAGCAGCCAACGACGGCCACGAACCAGCAGTCGACCTCGCATCCGAACTCACACCAAGGGCATTCGGCCCATTACTACAATCACAGTCGGTCGAACACAAGCCGGAACGACTTTCAAGCTTATTTTTGGGCCCAAGTGGAAGTGGGCAAGGGCCTACAGCCGACCCCTCATCACTTTCATTGGGGCCGTTCCTCGAAAAACTTCAGAGGACAAGGAGGCCGGGGGAAAAAGAACTAGCCCTTTTGAGTACTCAAGAACGAGTGATTCTGCGTAAGTTTTCTGAAATTACTCAGAGTGAATTCATCCTGCCTATGATGACTGAACTGACAAATTACCTTGGTCATTTTGAACAACAGATGAATGCTTCACAAGACTTCAATCAATCATTTAGGGAATTTTTAAAAGTTTTTAATGGTAACTTAGAGATTTTAGATAAAAATCTCAAAGATTTTCACTCAGACTCATATTCAAAATTTTCAGAAATTTTAAAAAAAGAAGTTCATATTTTAGAAGTTGTTGATGCTCAATACAAAGAGCTTTATAGAATTACCAGGCAAGATAATAAAGATCTTTCCAGTCTAGATAAAAAAATTGTTTCCTTTTTAAATCAATTTCCTTTAGAATCATTGAATCAATTTTTAGAGAAAAATTTTACATCTACTTTGTCTTTGAGTGATATCAATGAAAATCTTTTAGATTTTAAAGCTTCTTTGAACGAGTTTTGTGAGAACCGTGAGAGTGAGAAACCAAGTGTGGTCCAGAATGATCTAGTTATGACCACACTTATTGAAAATCTTCATGAAAAATTGATCCAAAAACTTGAGAACAAACTTTATCAGGATACTAGTTCAAGTGATGAAATCAATAAATTCCTCCAAGACCAAAACCTTGCCGTTGAAAATGAAAAAATTCAACGGAGCAATTTTCAAGATTTTCTCACTAAGAGTGTAGAAGAAATTAAAGAAAATCAAACACAGTTTGAAAATTCTACTAATAGTAAATTAGATAGGATTGAAAACATGTTGCGGAAGCTGACAAATGACAATCAGCGAGACGTAGAACATGTTCAGGAACCAGTACAAAGCAGTACCTTACCTAGGAACAGAGTTGGATCAATGGTGAGAAATTTTGAAGGTATTAGCCAAACTCCGATGCAAGGAGGTTCAACTCAAAATGTCAGAAGTGTACCTCCTCACCTTGACAGGCAGGATAACGGACTAAGGTTCAGAGCGGAAACTACCCCGAACCTTGGAAACAATCCCTTCTTTCCCCAAAACGTAGGTCAAAGCACTATGTTGCAACCGGACAATTCAATGGTAGATTTAGAAACAACCACGGAACTGTTCCGTCAAGCATCAATCAAAAAGGAACTCAGGAAAGAATACCCTAACGTCAAGGATTGGCCTACGTTCAGCGGTGAAGGTGAGTACAATCACCAAGAGTTCATTGATTGGGTTGACGCAGTACCAGTGCGCCTACAAATGCCAGATATCTTGATCACATCAAAGTTATCAATTGTATTTACTGGGGTGGCCCGTCAATGGGTTATGGACGTCATGAAAGAAGATGGCGCGCATAATAAGACCTGGGAAGAATGGAAAGAAGCTATTCAAACCAGGTTTGGTAATTCTCAATGGAGATCTTCAATGGAAAGATTGTTTATGAGGGATAAATTCAGGCCAGAGATCCATTCTGATTGTGTCAAATGGGCTACAAGACAGCAACAGAGGTTTAGATCATTCAGACCACATGCAAACTCATCTGAAGTAGCTGAAAAAGTACTTTGGCAGCTACCCAGCACAATCCAAATCCCAGTTCAGAATAGAATTGGCCCAGATAGCAACTGGACAGATTTCATTTTAGCTTTTGAAGATATTGCAAAAAGTTTGACGCCTGTTAGACGCACACAGACATACAAGTCAAATTTTCAGCCAAAAACTCATGAAAGAGAACAACAAGTGAGTAGCACCAAAGCTCAACCTTCTACGTCTGAGAGAAAAGCCAGTAGATCCTGCAACAACTGCGGTAGCACAGATCCTAAACATGTTTGGAGAACGTGTAAAGGAAAGGGCAAAGCTATCAATGCGGTTGAAGCAGATGAAGAAGACCAAGCTTATGATGACGAAGAAGCAGGCGCTCCAATGGAATTTGTAGAATACGCTGATAGTATAGCTGATTCAGAGTCACGGCACTCAGCTGACCTGAATGTTGCAGCAATAGAAAGTACCTTTGATGGTGAAGTTGACATATCACAAGTCCAAGCTGAAGCAGAAATGCCAATTATTACACCTATGGAAGAAAGTAATAAACAAATCTCAGACGCCAAACTGATCAGGTGTAAACCGGCCTCAGGCAAAGCACATACAATTGGATTTCACAGTTTGACTCGAGTCATTGTAAATGGTCAAGACGCAGAATTGTTACTTGACAGTGGAGCATCTTGCTCTGTGGTGGGGAACCACTACTTAAATAACTTTATTCCAGACTGGAAATTGAAGTTAATGCCTTGCAATAACAACATGAAATTTTCCGGTTGTAGTGGAAGTTTGTTTCCACTAGGAATTATAAAACTTGAAGTTTTATTTCCGCATAAACAAGGTGGCATTCGAATAGAAGCCGAATTTGTGGTTATGGAAAATTCCCACACCAAGTATTTCATACTGGGGGATGAACACTTGTCTATGTACGGAATTGATATCTTTCATAGCAAAGACAAATTCTTCACATTTGGTAATGATGTAAAGAAAAAGAAGTTTGGTTTACCACTTCAAAGACCAATTCTTTCAGGTTTACAAGTCAAGAAAGAGAAAATCAATGAACTTGATAATGAACAACCTGAAGTAGAGAAAATCTCGTGTAAGAAGAAAGATGACTTGACACCTAAAATCAATGAAGCAAAGTTTAGTCCCAAACTTTCAAAAGAGGAAAAGGATGCATTTGTTAACCTTATTCTCCAGTACAAAGATGAGTTTGGATTGGGTGAAAAAGAATTAGGTACTATTGAAAAGCATCAAGTAAGCATCAAACTTACAATTGAAAAACCCTACCCTCCAATATTGAGGAAAGCTGCCTATCCGGCTAGTCCTAGAAATCAGGTAGAAATTGAAAAACCCATAGACAAACTTCTTAGACTAGGTGTAATGAGGAAAGTAGGGAGTTCTGAAGAAGTTGATGTGACCACACCAATCATCATAGCCTGGCACAACGGCAAATCACGCTTATGCGGAGACTTTCGAGCTCTAAACACGTACACAGAGCCTGATAGATATCCTTTACCCAGAACTGAACATGTCTTGCTTAATTTAGGAAAAGCAAAATTCATCACACTGATGGACGCATTGAAAGGTTTCCACCAAATGATAGTAGAACTGGCAAGCAGAAGATATCTCAGAATAATCTGTCATATGGGAATATTCGAGTTCGTGAGAATGCCGTTTGGAATAAAAAATGCGCCTGCCTTCTTTCAAAGAATGATGGACATTGAGTTCAACAAAGAATTGCGAGAAGGATGGTTAAAAATCTTCATTGATGATATAATCATTTTTCATGATGATTTCAACGAACATCTCAAAGGACTGGAGATTGTCTTGAAAAGAGTCAAAGCCATGGGAATGACAATTTCATTGAAGAAGTCAAATTTTGGTTTTGATGAAGTTAAAGCTTTGGGGCACTTGGTATGAGGATTATGGATAGCAGTGGATCAGAATAAAACTGCTGCAGTTATGAATAAACCTCCGCCCAAAAACATCAAAGAGATGCAGTGTTTTCTTGGGTTTGCAAGTTACTATAGAAATTTCCTACCAGACTACGGGAAAATTGCAAATTGTCTTTATAAGCTGACATCCAATGGTGTTGCCTTTGAAATGACAAAACAAAGGTTGGAAGCTTGGAATCAAATTAGAAAAATGATAACAGAAGCACCAGTTCTGTTACAACCAGACTTCACAAAACCTTTCAAGCTATACGTAGATGCTTCATTTGAAGGTTTAGGTGCTGCATTACACCAAGTCCAAATTGTGGATGGCAAATCTAGAGAAGGACCTATAGTTTTCATATCTCGACAATTAAAAGATAGTGAAACTAGGTATGGTTCACCACAGCTAGAAGCGTTAGCTCTGGTGTGGGCTCTAGAAAAATTGCACTATTACTTGGATGGTGTGTACTTCGAAGTCATTATGGACTGTACCGGAGTAAGGTCACTCATGAATATCAAAACACCCAACAGACACATGTTGAGATGGATGTTAGCTATTCAGGAGTACAGACCTTATATGACCATAACTCACAGACCGGGTAAAATGCATAACAATGCGGATGGTCTAAGTAGAATGGCACTGCCGAATGACAGCAGCAATCCAGCCTGGGATCCTGAGGACGCAGAGATTGATATACCAGTGACGGGTATCAGCCTTTCAGAATTGAGTGACGAGTTCTTTTCCGAAATCAAAGAAAGTTACAAGTCAGATCCCAATACGCTAAAGCTTGTCAAACTTTTGTCAAAAGACAAAGCAGATTTGAGTCTTGCAACCACTTTAGAATCACCGTGGAGAGGTTATTACGCAGAAGGTAAAATCTCATTGCAATCAGGTTTGTTATATTTCAGAGAAAAGCATACATCAGTTGTAGTTTTAGTGTCAAAAATTCATAAGGAGCAGATACTACAAGTATGTCATGATGAGTTCCTTTCTGGTCACTTATCAGCAGATAGGACTCTTGAGAGAATTCATACCACAGCTTGGTGGATAAGATGGAAGCTTGATGCTGAGGAGTACGTAGCTAGCTGTGATAGATGTCAAAAAGCAAACAAAGCTACGGGCAAAAGATTTGGACTACTTCAGCAAATTGAAGCACCAACTTATCCATGGCAGATTATCAATATGGACTTTGTAACAGGTTTACCACCAGCAGGTATTGATAACTATAATGCTTGTCTTGTAGTAGTAGATAGATTCTCCAGGCGAACTAGATTCTTACCGTGCTATAAAGAATCGTCGGCAATGGATATTGCACTGCTTTTTTGGGAAAGATTGATCTCCGATGTTGGTTTACCAAGGGTAATAATCAGTGATAGAGATCCCAAATTTACGTCAGAATTTTGGAAAAGTCTTTTTAAACTCATGGGTACTAAATTAGCCTTCTCTACAGCCTATCATCCTCAAACTGATGGTTTAAGTGAAAGAAATATAGGTACATTTGAGGATTTAGTTAGGCGGTACTGTGCTTTTGGTCTTGAATTTAAAGACAAAGACGGTTATACCCATGATTGGGTAAGCTTATTACCTGCTCTAGAAATAGCTTACAACAGTAGTGTGCATAGTACTACAAAGAAATCACCTTTCGAAGTAGAAAGAGGGTATTGTCCACGACTGCCAAAGGACAAATTTAAAACCCGAGATGTAGAAATTCATCCTACATCTTTATCTTTTGCATCTATGATCAGCAAAGCAAGAGAGTTTGCTGCCAATTGTATCAGAGAATCAGAAGAATACAATAAAGACAGATGGGATAAGACCCATAGAGAACCTAATTTTAAAGTTGGAGATCAAGTGCTGTTGTCAACAACAAACTTTAACAATATGGAAGGATCCAAAAAACTTAGAGATCTGTTTGTAGGACCTTTTGTCATATCAAAACTAGTAGGACCAAACGCAGTAGAGCTTATACTGACGGGGGAGATGGAAAGAAAACACCCTGTGTTCCCAGTCTCTCTCATAAAGAAGTATAACTTGCCGGATGAAAATAGATTTCACCAAAAAGTCAGTACAGTCTTGCCAACCTTTACTCCAGACACTGAAAAGAAATTTCTCAAGATATTGAGGGAAAAGAGAGTAAAGGATAAAAATAATAAAGATATTAAATTATATCTAGTAAGATATAAAAACCAAGGTGCTGATGCAGACGAATGGTTACCAGAGGATAAAGTGCCTAATGGTAAGGTCACTTTGAGAGCGTACAGAGCATCAAAAAGAGATCATAAAACTTGAGAAGGTGTATGACCTCTTCTGATGGTGGGGAATGTCAGCCCTGAGTACTAAACCAGCGTACCAATGGGCGACAAATATATTAAAAACCTTAAAAACAGCAATTACAACTCAAGGCTCAGTTTCAAGAGTCAAGTTACATATGATTTGGCATATGTAACATGTGCAAAACTCACATCAAAGAGTGTGTACGTACACAACTTTGATGTGAACCAAAACTACATATATTTCACAGACGTAACACATATGTAACAAGTGAAATATACTTATAACCCAATAGTAACCGTGTTACTTTAATTAACCTAACCTTAGAACCACAATTTGTGCGCACTTGTAGTC